CCCCAAAACCCCAAAACCCCAAAACCCCAAAACCCCAAAACCCCAGATTCTTAAATTGCTTTTGAAACTTATATATTATCAGAAATTAATTAAGTGTGGAATCATAACCAGATTCATAAATACCAGATTCTTAAACCCTAAAGAGTGGAATTAAGCACCAACAATTTCTGACACATTCGTTCTGAAGTTCTGAAGTCCCGGCCGATAGATTTGCTTGGTTTTCACCCTCTCGTGCATGATGTGCTCCAAGAGAAGCTTATTCCTTCTCATAATTCCAGCCTTTTTATGCTTTCTCTGAATTTTCTTAAATTCTGTACCTAATTTTTGTATCTCAGGTAATCGCATCGGATAAATCTGGGTAGACATTTTTGAAACCGATGGCTTTTCGATTTCTTTAGAAACCTTCAGATTCATATGCCTCATATTCTTCTCAATATGGTCTACAAGGATTCTCTTGAACTGATGGGATTGGTCCTTCTCAGTTGACAATGATTTTTTGATCATCGTTTTCAGCTTTCTCACCGAAGGATAGACCAGTTTCTTAGGATCGCTGATCTTTATCTCTCGGTGAATCTTCTTCTGATTGGGAGTTTTCTCCACAGATTTCGAAGCAGAAAGCTTGAACTTCCTCAAATTGGTAGTCCTAAACATCACATCTCATCTCTTCTGGGCTGAGCATATGGTCGGGTTCATATGCTCCTGAATCTGGCCGTATTCCATCGAGTTGGTGACTACTTCTGAAGAGGCAAAACTCTTAAGTTGGCTTCTTGTTCTTCTCCTAACAGTAGGGGCTATTCTCATCAGGTCTCTTCTAGCGTCTTGAAAGATGTCTCTACCACTTTTGGCAATTTTTCAAAGGCTCATTATCTCTTTTGAAGACATTTATGATAATTTATTTAACTTTATAGGTATTATACCATAATTACTTGATCTCAGCCAAATCGAATGAGCTGGGGTTTTGGGGTTTTGGGGTTTTGGGGTTTTGGGGTTTTGGGGTTTTGGGGTTTTGGG